TCTGAATGATCAGTACAGTTCAAAAACGCTCAGTGCTGCCCCTCAGTAAACTTCCAGAAGTCTGCTAATCATAAAACAGAGGACTTTTAAGGAGGGGGGTCTTAAAGAGACAAGAGCTGAAAGGTCTTGTTTAAGAAGGATGATGAGCTAAAAGACTACAAACATGGATCGTATAAGATAAATATACAAAAGGTCATGCAAAGCTACTGTGGAGTCCCAGAACTGAAACATAAAGAAATTAGTGTAATATGCAAGAAACTGTATACCTCTACTATTTTTACAGAATCAAATTCATAGTGTCTTTCCACATTACTTTTATCTACAGAATATATGTGTAAAAATGTTCTTTTACTTCCTTTTTAAGCTTTGCATGCTGACAAAAATCTATACCTTATTATTGGCGGATAAGCAACTTGTGAAACTGATGTAAATCAAAGTGTTTTGGAAGAAAAAAATTTGAAATTGTGTATTTTCTGTATAGAAAATACAGAAAATATAATTCCAAGGTTTCTTGGAATTATCTTAATTTATTATGGAAATATTTCTTAATTAAAGAGAACTTGTACTTCTCTTTGACCATTGTTGTGTAGGTAGGGTTGCCAACTGCCTGTTTTAGCTGGGACATCCTGTATAATGAGCAAAAATGGTTCGTCTCTTATTCTACCTCAGATGTCCTGTATATATTGACCATTACCTGTAATGCCACTTAAATCTGATTTGACTGCAGTTGTATCAGATGATTGTTTCTGTCCAGTCACAACATTCAGTGACGGCCCATTATGCACATTAGATGTGAAGAGTAGTACGTGATTTGTAAAAATTAGGTTGTTTTTTTTTTTTTTTGGCTTATTAACTTGGTTGTTTGAGTTCCTTTTTTCCGTTTTTTTTTTTGATTTTTTTTTTCTTTTTACACTATGCCCAGCTGGCTGTGCACTGCGCTTCTGGTACACCAGATTGCCCCTTATTTTATAGTTAAAAAGTTGAAAACCCTATGGGCAGCTTATGTTAGTTCTGCTAGTTTCTAGCTTAGAGATACTCGCTTAGAAATATAGGCCTGGTTCTATTAATTAATGCTCGCTTTTAGTTTAATATTGTCACTCATTTGCCTAGGAGTGTTAATTGGGAGCTTAAGGGATGATAACTTAGTGATGCTAGGTAGTAACCTAGCAATGCTAGTTACTAGTGCAGGGATGCTAGTTAATAATAGTCACCAACTTAGGGATCCTATTTATCATTCTAGGAATGTTAGTCAGTATTATAAGGATGTGAGGTAATAATAATTACTAGCTTAAACATGCTAGTTACTGGCCTAGAAATTCTAGTCAGTAGTGTAGGTTGGTTGTTAATGGTAGCTATCTTAGGAATGCTAGTTGCTAGCCTAGGAAGGCAAGTTTGTAGGCTGGGTATGCTAGTTAATGCTAATGCTAGAAACTATTATATTAACTTGTTAACATATTAACTAATTAATGCTAGTTCCCAGCTGAGGATAATGAATCCCTTTCATAGGAACGCTTGTAAATACTCCAGGGATGCTAGTTATTAAGAGCTGCTAGCTTACTGATGATTGTTGCTAGTAAGTTGATGCAAAAGGAGAAATCTTACTTTTTTCCCAGAGTAACGGAGAAACTTATAAGCTTTAGTCGGAATACCTGATTAATCTGGATGCCTGAAGTTAGCATCATGTTTTTTAAAGTATGGAAAGAATGATTATACGGCCAATCAGTAAAAGTTATCCCCCAGCTTAATATTAAAATCATCTTTTATCTGAGATAAAAACCTGTAACTTCAAATATTTGTCTTACACCATTTCTTTATTTGAACTGTATTTATTTGGAATGCTTGGAAAGAAAAGGGAAAGTCCCTGAGCCTGTGAAGCAGCTCCTTCAGGCCGGTGCCCACATGAGGCTTTAAACGGTAGGGAAGGGTCTTGTGGCAGCACCTGGCTCACAGAGAACTTCTACCACAGGATAATAACCAAATCATCTTAACCCACACAGCTAGTGCCAGCTGTTGCACTGGGCACAATTCCAGAAAGGCAAAACAGAGAGGCGGAGAGGAAAAAGAAAGAAAGCACTTGTCTTGCCAACACATCATGGCCCCAGCATGAATTCGAACGTCAATAATTCCACTGCTGGTTTTTCGACTCAGTGTAAAAGTTGGCACTCAGTGTGTGATACCGAGGGGCCACAGGGAGGGCAGTGAAAGAGGAGTGACACAAGGGTGCACTGTTTAGTCTGGCAGGTCTCAGCTGCTTTATGAGCCAACACTCGACCTTTGTGAGCCCACCGCATCCATCTGTTACTGTAGCTACTGTCCAGTCTGGAAGCCCCTCTCACAAATGGATAAAAACAAAAAAAATCAATTTATAACTTTCCTTTTGTAGACTCGTAAAATTCCACCTTTGTACCTTCATTAAAACTTTATTATAGTTACAGTCAGTAACATATTCAAACCTGAAAATGTGTCCTTATTGCTGCGCTATTCTGTCAAGTTTTTTTTACTTAATTTACTCTGACCACAGTTGTTATCCAGATATATCCAGTTACGAAATGCATGCTTAAGCTCTACTGCAACTTCCAATGAAAATGAAAATCCAGAGAATGATAATGGAGTTAAGTGCAGCAGTGCTATCAGGAGCCTGTTTGCTTTGTGTAAGATACCAGTAGCACGTTGTTCTGGACTGAGTGGTGTAGCTTGAATACAAGTTCACAGTTACTGATGTGTTACTGAAGATCTTGCCACTCCTGCATCTCATCTTTTATTAGGAGGCTGATATAAAAAGTGCTAAAAATGAATGGAGAAAGGTTATTTAAAGAGCATCAGATGAGAATTTATTGTAACTATATTTGGATTGAAATATATTTTTTATTTTTACAACTCATAGAAAATTATTGATTCTTCAGAATTTAATTGACTTTGAAATATGTAAGCAAAATAAAAAGCAGTGAAAGGGGAGGATTTTTAGAAATATTTGACTTAAGTAACGTATATGTGCTCACTCCTTTATATAATATTGGCAAAACATCTACAACAAAGCTAGATATAGTGACTGTAAAGACTATTGACTGTCTGAGCCTGATTGGCAGAGGGTAATTTAATTAACTTTAAGCCATTTAAAACAACTTCAAGTTCTAATTTGACCTGTTCCCATGACCCACAGTCCTTATATCAGCCTGCTGCTTCTTAAAGGACCTAATCAATTCACACAAAACTGATCTATGTTAATAAAATGATCAAAGACCTTTTTATACACGTAAAATACACAAATGCATAAATCCTAATTTAAACAACTATATATTGTAAAAATAACATATTCACAGAATAACAAAGTATTTAGGGAGGTTATACTGAAAACTGTACAAAGGCTTGCAAAGAAAACAATGATCCACGCACATTTGAACTTATATGAACAAAAGTATGCTGCCGTTGATAATATGGAAAATAATAATGTTTAATGTTACAGACTGACTCGATATATTTGATATTTCGGCAAATATACTAATAATATAGTATTGTACTAACATAACATGTATCATATGTCATAACATATGTCCACAAGTATGTGGACAGCTAAGCATTTTGCCCATATCCCTTCAACGCCTAGTGTACCATATGTGATACATGAGGTTTTTTGGAGTTTTTGAGCCTTCAACATCATCTGTGTGTTTTTTTGACTCCTGAAAAAATCGAAATATATTACACAATACATTTTTAAGCTTTTTTTTAAATCCCAGATGTAGCAAATATGAAATGTAATGCAATTATTTTTTTAAGCACATTTGTCAGATGGTTCAGTAAAATCTTCATTTTAAAAATGGCTTTTTAAAATTTCTTAGTTGAGGCTTTAAAGAGATATTTGTGTAACAGCTTCTGTTTTTCTGGTTTCAGCCTTTTTAACAGGTGTTGAACCTCCTGCGACTATTTGCTCTGATTTAACAACAGTAAGGTCCAGGGGTATGTCAGATGGTGTTTAAAATTCTTGTTTTTTCTGAAATTGTCTTGAAAATATCTATAATTTTTTAAACTGCTTATCCAGTTTGGGGTCATATCCATGGGGTCTATCCATCTGTCATGGCTAACACACAGGAGGTGGTTTATCTAGGCTCGCATTAACAGGGTGAGTTTAGGATCACCAATTCTTGTCTTTGGACTGTGGGGGGAAGAAAGACAGGTAGATTCAAACTCAGGACCTTCTTTCTATGAGGCTGCAAAAGATCAAATGATGTCCTCAGTAGTGATTGGATACTGTGCAGATGTTACTGGCCTGGAAGTGGTCACACGTGGACGCACAACTGGCAACTGCCCTTCCACGAGCCTGGTCCTCCATGCTTGATGAAAGGGAGTTTTTTGATTGTTGGAGTTTTTCTGTATTATTGTAGGGTCATTACCTTAACCTCCTAGGACCTGGTGTCCACATATGTGGACATCACATTTTGGGTTATTTACACCAAAATACTCAATTTTGCTCTACAAGGGCCTGATATCCACTTACGAGGACATTATAGGCTACTGCTACTGTTCAAAATTTTAAACAAATATGCTCATATGTGGCTCTCATGTTTCTTAAAAACAAAAATAAGGTAAAAAAATAAAATAAAATCTGGTAATTCTTTGTTTTTACATTCATCGGGCCCCAATATGTCCAAATATCAAAGAGGAATTAAAAATGCATGCCGTGGAAGAGTTCGGGTCTTAGGAGGTTAAAATATAAAGCACCTTGAGGCAACTGTTTGACAGTTGAATTGCCAAAGATTAAAAAAAGGGATCCTATGATTTTTTTTGCAGTTACAGTTACTATTTACCAGTCAGTTAGTTTGACTGAGACATTTTAAAACCTTCAAATTCCTTTTAAAATGTCCTTATTTGTGTGTGTAGATAGCTGTCTGTATAACTGTGCAGGGCTGTTTCTGCATAAACAGAAGAACTGAGAGCAAAACATCCGTCTTTGCACCTCTTTGTTTACACCCTAGATGAAAGCAAATGGGCTGGAGGCTGCTGCGCGCAGACAGGTTGCATTTCATGACATGCAGTCATCGCCGCTCCACAGCGCCCCGCTCCGGCCTGCGCCTGCACTGCGACGAGAAGCCGTGCGCGCCCGGTGAGCGACTGCCGCTGAAGAGACGAGACCGCTGTCTGCACTCAGGTAAGAAAACCCAGACATATTTGTTTTATTTAACCGATCCGGTGTGGCTGCAATCACACCGAAACATCAGGAGAGCGGGCGACGTGCGGCTCAAACCCCGCGTCGTAATTCTGCGTCGGCATTCGGCCTGTCACTTGATATTTTATTTGCATGAGGTGGGAGAGGTTGGGCCTGTGCGCGTTTTACGTATAGAAATTTCGTGCACTTGAACACGAGGCGTATTTTTTCTCTTATATCTCATGACAGCACAGATTCTCCTGCAGCAGCTTCATTTTGCGTGTTTTCGGGGCTCACGCTTTTCATTGTGCGCGATCTGCTCCTCCATCGACCTACAATAAACAGAGAAACGTGTTTTTGTTGCAGCCATCATCGCACCAGCCCTGGAGGTGCAGTCACCTCCCTACAAACACGATACATTCAGCGTTTTTCTTCCTCCTCAAGAGGAAAAAAAATGTCTCCATCATCCTCCGGAGCAGGTCCTGTTTTCGTTACTGCCACTCTGCTGCTGGCGCGCAGTAACGAGACTAATCCTCCAGAGTATTTATAATCTCATTAATAAAGAATCCCATGGGGGCAACAAAGCGGTGTTATTTCTCTAAGATTTACTGTAATTTAATAACACTTGTGTTCTTTGTGTCGTCGGCTTTGAGTGTGAATTTATGGCTGTATGCACCCCCCTCCCCTCCCGTTATTCTGGATCTTTCGCTTCTTTCTTGCATCTGAGGCCTAAATGCTTTCCAGACCAGCTGCCTCACAAACCAGCTCCTTTGATTTTAATATGTGAGATTCTGACATGTAAATAGACGCAAAAACGAGAAGCCCCTGGTGTATTTAATTGATTTCCCTGCGTCTCTGTATTGTTTCGAGAGCGGATAGTGTTGGAAATCGGGATGAAGCAGTGCTTGTGCGCAAATGCCAAGCCCATTTTTTTTCGCCTTTTTTTCATATTATAAACAGAGGAGAGCGCCCATGTCTCCGTGTGCTGTCACACGGCCAGTGCAGTGAACCAGGCTGCTTATCTGACACATATGGGCTCTTGGGTAATCCTCCCAGGGTCAGCGGACGCGATCTGACCCACAGTAGGTGCATGAAAGCCTTTTAACGCGAACCCTTTATGCCCGCCACATGAACAATATGTCATTTTTTCCTCTTTGGTTTGGTGGAGGGATGTTGGAGTGAGAATCTCTCGTCTCATTCCACGGACACACCTCTCTCCCACCCTCACTGGTTCTCACTCATTGCATCGATTTCTGTAACAATTACAGTGAAGAGGAGCGGGCATGTTGTAGTCAGTAACCGCAGCTGGGAGCCATTCCAACTGATGCGCAGAAAGCAGTGAAACACATCTCAGTGCCATCTTTTTGTTTTTTTGATAAACTCAGACATCCTTCTGCAAGTTTCTGCAGCACTTGGGCACGACTGGAGAGACACGCTGGTATGTGCACAGGGAGGTCTGAGAGGGGCTCCTCCCCCCAAAAAACACTGCTGGACATGTTCAGATCAGCCTTGAGGCATCTATCCTCTAAAACCTTTAGACTGTAGCTGATTCTCTGCTTTCGATTTGGGCATCCAAACCTGTCTAGTTGGATTAGCAGCACAACAAAGCTGGCAACTGAGTGCACACATCTCCAGCCAGGGGTCCCAGGTCCACTTCTTACTGTATGCATAATTAATTGAATGCTGGCAATATGAAGCACAATTTCAACTGCAGACAAGCCAGACGACGGTGCAGAGTTGTTGAAAACTGTCAATAAAAATAGGAAAGTTTCATATTTCCATTATAGCAGAACTTAAAAGACATTGTCAGTGTGTTGTTATATTTGAAAAATCACTGTGCAGCATATTTGGTACGATTGCTTTTATGCATGTAGATGAAATAATGTTTGATATCAGTTAAGTTGCCACTTGGTTTGTCAGGGACCAGAAATATGTTGGGTCCAGATTTTAGCTTTGAGATATGTGATTGTAAGCTTGATAATTCTACATGATATATTTTTGGGAAGGTTATTTTTACATACTGACGCATGTACACTGGCTGTATTTTGGGTTTCTGGAGCACAGCACACAAAGTTTGTGAGCATCAAAATCAACATAGAAGAAGTCGAGACATCCCTACTTTTAGTCGCTTAACATGTCAAGCTTTTTACTCTGGAACATGTATTTCTCTGACATTTTTCCACAAAAAAGACCAGCTTGCCCAGCCTGTGTCTCACCATAGTTGTGGTTTCTTGTTTTCACCAAAGAGACATTTCTGCTCCAGACCACTCAGATGTTTTCATTTAAGTAGCTGTTTGAGGAACAAAGAAGTAAAATCATCTGAGGCTTCGTAAGACAGGGAACTATATGCAGATTTGTTCAGAAGCACTCACTCATCAATCATCCGACCACCCCTGAGACTTATTCTGTGATCCTTTACATTCTGATTTTGACTGTATTTTTACCTGTTATGATTTATTTTTACATTGCTCTATTAGCAGTTTATAAGTGAAAAAAGGTGTGGTTAAAAAGCCAAAGGTCTCAAACTGACCCAACCTCCTTTTTGGGAATCATCAGCGGTGATGAGACCAAACAGCGTCTAAGCCTGAAAGCGATGCATCAGGTCAGGAGTGTAGCTAGGAGCAGTCTCATCATTTAACAAAGAATGAGGTCGTACAGGATTATTACAGTCCCAAGCATTAGACACGTCATCACTTGGCTAGAAAACATCAAGCCTGAACTGTCAAGTCAGAATTGGATGTCCACCTAAAACAGTAGCAGCAGTGCATGAGGAGAAGATCCTGAAGGGGAGATTGGCTAAATGCTGTTTGAGTCCAGAACTTTATGATGGCACTTTTACTTTTAAAGCCTTTTCCTTCTACACACGACACTTGTTCTGGTATGCAGGTGTGTATGCTGTACAAACGGAGCAAATCCAAAAGAACTGGCGACGAAGCTGAAAGAAAACCTAAAGAACTGAAAACGCAGACGTGTGTAATGTAGTTAAAGATGCAGGCTGATGTGAGCAGTGCAGCTCTTTTGAAATAAATCAATCACTCTCCTTAATGTGACTGCTGACTCCATCATGGCCTCAAGCGTCGGGCATTATGAAATGAGTCCGCACTGAAGTGCTCCATTTAGCAAAGACTGACAGCCTGTTGGCCCCCGTCGGCTCGAGTCCAAAGGCGACCGCATCCAGCCGGCCGGCTTCAGTTTGGACGGACCCGCCTGCAGAGCTTAGGCTGGCAGAATAAACAGCACCACAGCAATTAAGTCTCCAGAGTGGAGCTTTTCTAAAAGTTACTCAGATTTATTTGGCTTCAGAGCTCAAACAGGCAGCTGAGCTACTGATTTAAGGAAATATTCTTTTAAGTTACTTTATTATTTTTAAAAAGGCTCAAACTCCTCAAAAATGTCCGTGTGCTGCTCTTTCCCTGTTTTAAATTATTTGAACATTGCAAGAAGTTTGAGCATGTCATCAAGAGAGTTTGAAAGTTGTAACCCACATTTATATACTCTTGATTTAAAAGATATATTTTTGATATCACTTTATGCATTGATTCTAGTTTACTGAACACATAAAGGACAAGATAAACCTCACAGTTTCACAGAACAGGCCTTTTTCTGGATGCGTTGCCTCATTAAATAGAAGAAGAAATGCCACAGCGGGATTTCAGCTGCATTCTTGTACACACTTAATTGGCACCATGCTGACTGAGGACTGGCTCATTGCATTGGGAAACCTGTGTGTGTGTGTTCATTGTGAACATACAGCAACAGCTGGAGTCCCTGATTATTTAACAGTCTGCGCCGTGAAAATGAGAAGAATTCCTCATATCTTGAATTCCATACTGCAACATTGTGGCCTCAGAAATGTCGCGGTTTGTCTTTTACTTCTTTGGAACCTAGAAGTACAAGTCTGGCATTGATTATGTGCCAGTTATTTGAATGTGAACTGAAAGGAGGATGCGTGTGAAGATAGCAGAGCAGGGCGTGGCTGAAATCCTGAAGGTGAAATATTGCAAACATTAGCTGCTTGTAGATGCGGGACGTCAGGGTGCCGTGTGCAGACCGGCCCTGCAAGATGTTTCCCCTCCAGCGCTTAGATGGAGGGGAAAATGGAAACGGGCTCCACCTTCAGCTCCTCCGCTGCAGGGCCGGGCCCACATTAGGAAGGTAGAGTCAGAGTGTGCTGGCTGCCGGAGGCTGGGCCAGAGCACAGAGAGAGGGAGAGAGCGAGTGGTGAGCAAAGTAGGTCAGAGATACAGAGGCAATCAAGCATGAGAGCAGCATCCTCGTCTCTCAGCTGAGCTACACGCAGGGCTGGTGAGGCGGCAGGCCCGTACACGGCATCAGACGAATGCCTTTGTTTCTCAGTGTGAGCCATTTTACCTCTAAAACTGTCACACACTCAATGAATTGGTCAATAACATTAGATTGGTTGAGAGTTGTTGGGATTTGTCGAGTATAAATGCTAAATATAATCTGGTTTCTATGGAAGCCCGTTTCCGCCACTAAAAAAAAAAAAA